TTTATTTTTAGTTTGCCACAATCATTGTTTGCTGCACACACACCTTTTTAGAGGGACACACATTTCTTCGTGATTTGTTAGAATACTCTATGTGCTTCATTTATATCTTTTGAGCTAGGCAGTTGCTCTAGTGCCTCACTTATATCTTTTAGAGCATGGTGGTGGTTATATTTTAAAGAAATAGTTACACTCTCATTCTTCACTTATATATTTTTGAGGCAGTCTAATAAATAGTAATGGCAATATGCACGTGTTATGAAATTGGTCCTAATATGATAGGTATTCATGAGGCATATAATAAAAACTTTCATGTAGTTCACTGAATATGATAAGTTTGATTCCTTGCAATAGTTTTGCAATATTGAGATGGTAGTATGTGGGAGTACTAGTGAATAATTGTGGTTTATTAAGAATATTGGTGTTAAGGTTTGTGATGCCCGAAGCATGCACATATAGTCTCCTGTTATGCGATGAAGTTGGGGCATGCTTTATTATTGAGTGTTCCTTATGAGTGGCGGTCGGGGACGAGAGATGGTCTTTTCGTGCCAATCTACCCACCCTAGGGGCATGCGTAGTAGTACTTTGCTTCGAGGGCTAATGAACTTTCACAATAAGTATGTGAATTCTTTATGACTACTATGAGTCCATGGATTATACGCACTCTCATCTTTCTGCCATTTGCTAGCCTCTCCGGTACCGTGCATTGTCCTTTCTCACCTCGAGAGTTGGTGCAAACTTCGCCGATGCATCGAAACCCCATGATATGATATGCTCTATCACACATAAGCCTCCTTATATCTTCCTCAAAACAACCACCATACCTACCTATCATGGTATTTCCATAGCCATTTTGAGATATATTGCCATGCAACTTCCACCACTCCGTTTTTATGACATACACATTTATTGTCATATTGCTTTGCATGATCATATAGTGGACATAGTATTTGTGGCTCAGCCACCATTCATCATTATCATACATGTTATGCTAGCATCATTGCACATTCCGGTACACTACCAGAGGCATCCATATAGAGTCATATTGTTCTAGTATCGAGTTGTAATATTGAGTTGTAAGTAATTAAAAGTGTGATGATCATCATTATTAGAGCATTGTCCCAATGAGGAAAGGATGATGGAGACTATGAGTCCCCCACAAGTCGGGATGAGAAACCGAAAGGAAAATAAAATAAAATAAAATAAAATAAAAAGAGAAAAAAGAGGCCAGAAAGAGCCCAACAAAAAATGAGAGAAAAAGATAGAAGGGGCAATGTTGCTATCCTTTCCACATTTGTGCTTCAGCGTAACACCATGTTTTTCATATAGAGAGTCTCCTATGTTGTCACTTTCATATCGTAGTGGGAATTTTTCATTATAGAACTTGGCTTGTATATCCTGATGATGGGCTTCCTCAAATGCCAGAGGTCTTCATGAGCAAGTAAGTTGGATGCACACCCACTTAGTTTTCAGTATGAGATTTCATACACTTATAGCTCTTAGTGCATTCGTTGCATGGCAATCCCTACTCCTCACATTGACATCAATTGATGGGCATCTCCATAGCTTGTTGATTAGCCGCGTTGATGTGAGACTATCTTCCTTTTCTGACTCCCCCTTATTGATCTCTATCACCACATTCTATTTCACCCATAGTGTGCTATGTCAATGGCTCACGCTCATGTATTGTGTGGGGTTGAAAAAGTTGAAGCACATTAAAAAGTATGAAGCAATTGCTCGGCTTGTCATCGGGGTAGTTCATGATTAATACTTTGTGTTATGAAGACCAAGCATGACAAGATTATATGATTTTGTAGGGATATTGTTCTTTAGCATTTTTATTTTTAAAGGCATGATTGTTTGTTAGTATGTCTGAGTATTGATGTCTTTATATCAAATTATATACTATTGCTTTGAATCATTCAGATCTTAATATTCATACCTAAAAGAAAGATTACATGATAAACATGTTAGGTAGAATTCCATCAAAAATTCTATTTTTATCGTTTACCTACTCAAGGACGAGCAAGAACTAAGCTTGGGGATGCTTGAGTATGTCTCCAATGCATCTATAATTTCTTATTGTTCCATGCTATTATAGTATAAACCTTGGATTCTTTATATGCTATTTTATATCATTTTTGGGACTAACCTATTATCCCAGTGCCTGGTGCTAGTTGTTATCTTTTGCTTGTTTTTGGTTTTCCAAAAAATCAATATCAAATGGATTCCAAGCGCTACGAAACTTATTGATGATTTTTTTCTGAACAAGAGAGACCCTAGAAGCTTAGTGAGTAGACCAGACGACAATCGAGGACATAGCAAGGCAACATGGCGTGCCATGTTGCATTGTGGGCCCCATGAGGCTTCATTTGACCTAATTCCACTTCTATGAATTCTCAAATATTGGGAAACCAACAGAGAGCCACCCAAAACCCTTTTTCCGCTACCGCAAGTTTCTGTTCATCCGGGATCCCATCTGGAGGCCTTTTCCGGTGCTCTGTCGGAGGGGGAATCAATCATGGAGGGCTTCTACATCGTCCTTGCTTCCTTTCGGTGATGCATGAGTAGTTCACCATAGACCTACAGGTCCATTGGTGGTAGCTAGATGGCTTTTTCTCTCTCTTTGATCTTCAATATAATGTTCTCCTGGATGTTCTTTGATTTCTATTTGATGTAATCTTATTTGCGGTGTGTTTGTTGGGATCCGATGAATTGTGTGTTTATGATCTGAATATTCATGCGAAGTAACTGAGTCTTTTCTGAACTTAATTATGCATGATTGTTATAGCTTTGTATTTCTCTCCAATATATGTTTGGTTTGGCCAACTAGATTGATTTATCTTCAGTGCGATATTGGTGAATCTTGCGGTGCTCCATATCCGAGTGATACAAAGGGACAAGACACGTATTTGTATTGTTTCCATTAAGGTTAAAATGGTGGGTTTATTCATATTGATTGTGTTTACTTTGTCTACATCATGTCATTTTGCTTAAGGGTTACTCTGTTTTCATACTTAATACCATAGATGCATGCTCGATGGCGGCCGATTGGTGGAGTAATAGTAGTAGATGCAGACAGAAGTCGGTCTACTTGTCTCGGACATGATGCCTATATTCATGATCATTGCCTTGGATATCGTCATAACTACGCGCTTTCTATCAATTGCCCAACAGTAGTTTGTTCACCCACACTATATGTTGTGTGTTTAAGAGAGAAGCCTCTAGTGAAAACTATGGCCGCAGGGTCTACTTTTATCATATTACAAAAACCTAAATTCCGTTGCTGCAATTTTTTGTTTTTATCTTGTTTTGCAATTTATCTATCTACCACTAAAATATTTGATCATTTCAAGTAATGAGTTCAAGGGGATTGACAACCCTCTTGCCCGTTTGGGTGCAAGTATTTGCTTTTGTGTGTGCAGGTGCTGTTCACGAGGCTTTGTGTGATTCTCATATTGGTTCGATAAACTTGGTTCTCACCAAGGGGGATACTTATACCTATTGTACTGCATCTCCCCTCCTCTTCATGGAAAACCCCAATGTAGCTCACAAGTAGCAGCTTTTCCCCATGAAATTAGCTTTCTTGCAGAGAAAGAAGAGCCCCAACTGACCTTCACAGCTCCCTCACGGGTCCCTCATGCGGGTGAGGCAAATGACACCCCGGGAGACCATGTGCACCCACAGGCACCGCCTTACGACGATTCCTTTATCCAAAATCAGATATTTTCCATACAAAAATTCAAAAAAAAATCAGCTCAGTCCGGCTTTGTGAATTTTTGATGTGTTTTTCCAAAAACTATAGGAACAGGAACTGGACTTTGGTACTGGATTGATAGGTTAGTTCAAATAAATATTGTGCCAAAAACATAAATAAATGATGTAAATATAGTATGAATACTTCAGAAATTATAGATACGTTGGAGACATATCAGTGAGTGACATAGCATGACATGCCTACTAGATGGAAAGAACGATAATGACCATTGGACGTTGTGGTCTGGCTAGATGGCGTGTTTTGTCATGTTTACCTGGCCTTTGGACGCTGCAGCCATGCCAGTTGGTGTATGTGGTTGCACGCTCTTGGCGACTGCGCTCCCCTAGGACTAATCATCTATTCGGTTTGCTTTGCCTCCTTCTGCTCATGTGGTTTTAGGTGGGGGTTCTCGGTTCCAATGCCTCAGGTCATTTGACATGGGTGGTCGGTCGAGCATTGTATCGATCCGATTATTGGGTTTCCCTGGCAAGACAACGAAGCACATGGCCAACAATCGTTGTTGTTGCCGTTGCAAATATACAAGGCAATTACAAACTCAATATGAATATAATCACTTAGATGCAATTCACCAGAAACATCATTCAAATGGTTCACCTAATTTCTTGATTGTTGTTTTTTTGTCGCATTTACAAGATGAGGAAAGGCTGAAGCATGAAAAAAATCTGAGAGTCCATTCCCCTGCTCAAGCAAACAGCTTATGTGTTGCCAAAAAATCCATGGCATTGATCATCGTCAAGGCAAATATAAATGTGGTATAAACATAATCATTTGCAGACGGTTGAAAAAACAACCCTTCAAATTGTTTTCTTCACTTTCGGGTAGTTTGTCTCTTCACCAATGGCGCAACGGTTCATTATAAAAAAAACTTGACCAAGAGAGATTAGTGCCTTGTTTTTTGAAACAAGGAGCACCCCACAATCGGTTTGTATTAATTACCATAACGAATTTTTACGTTTGTTATTAGCACTTGTGGCTTGTTTTTAATTAACAAGGAATAACCCTTCCACTAGAAAACCAAGAAACAACCAAGGAACACACCCTATGGAGCAGGTGTAGTGGGACTAAACATCACATATGATATAAATAGTGAAATTTATAGTAAAAACAATAGTTGCATGCATATATGTGTACATGTATAACATAATAATACAATGACCTGAATGTAAAGTTCCAACAAGCATGCACATTTTGACCTTATTCCAGGATGCATTTGATATGCTTCATTTTAGTTGAATTTATTTATGAAGCTGATTATATGTGCACTAATTTCCTTTGGTTTTTCTTCATTAATGAAATGTGCGACATCCTTCATTATCACCACATCATCCAGTAATGGAACAAACTTTTTGAAGCCTCCTTTGTTTATGAAATTTTGTGCGTCTGCAGTATTGTATGTTAGATCCAAATCACCAACAATGAACTTGGTTGGCACCTTTATCTCAGCTCCGGTCCATGGTGAAGTTAGATCCCATGTTCTGCACAGAAACAAACCAAATATGGTTGTTTAGACCAAAACATTGTGTGGTGTCACTGAGTCATCCTAGAAATACTTTTTGTGACTATTTCTTTGGGAGATCTAGAGTAATTATGTCTCTACGAGCGTATTGTGGATGACGTACACCATTGATTTATAATAAAACTTAACAATGTGGCATTGTTACCAACAAAATAGAAAAGTATAAAGTTTTGCGCAAGTAAATGACAATATTAATATATCATGTGTCGTAAATTACAACGTTTGCTCCATTATAGCAAAGGTGAATTTGCTTGTGAGACAATCTTTACAAACTTATGATAAATATTTCTTGGGACACCTTTTGGAGAAACCTTCTCTTATTCATTTAATCACCTCCAAATGAATTAATTATTGTTTTTGAAAAAGCAGAATTTATAGTATTGCGTATATTATTAGTTTTCTTATCTAGAACAGAATTCAAACATAATTGTGTATGTATGTACGTCATTTCAAATATTGATGATATATTTAATTAGAAATCCAACCCCTCTTTCTCCCAAAAAAACCCTATACCTATAAAAAAAATATCATTATGCAAAACATTTAAAGCCTTGAATCATATTTTAAGTTCAGATCCACATATTTACGTTAAGGTAATAGTTAATTATAATTATTCATAAAGTTAAAATCTAAAAGGAAAAGATTCCAAGGTAAGCAACTTATAATTACTTATTCAAAGCACGGTAGTAGTTCAATCCCCCGGTGAAACCAGACTTGTCAAACTCGGTCGTGTAGTACTTGATGTCCTCCTCCGTGATCCAACTCGGCAAGGGCACCTCCTCATCTGGTGAGCCCCATCCGCTCTTCGGGATGAAAAGTGGGCCAGGAGTTCGATAAGCGAAAAACTTTCTTAGCACCAACTCTGTACCAAGGCGCCTAAATTCCACTTCAACTGCTCCAGGCTCCTATAAACTAGATTTACAAGTAGCTCAATCATAATTTTTTAATGCAACTCCAGAGACAATATGAGAGTTGAAAATGAAATGACTTTAGTTAGTGCATCTTTGATTCATGTGATTCTCAAAAGCTAGCAATAGAATAAAACATAGTATCACATTGTTATGGCATGTTGAATTCTACATGGCTAGAGAACTATAAGAATATAAAACAAAGAGTGTTTGGCAATATATAGATAATTAAAGGAAGTGTAATAAGTTGTTTGAGTCGATGGAAAGTTTCTCTAAAACATAATGCAATGCCATCCTTAGGATTTTTTGTTGGGGATTCCATGAATCCTAGGATCTAAACAACATACATGTGAAAATTCCTAAGGATCAAAATCCTCCTAATATCCTATGAATATCATTTGAGGCAAAGATCCATTATAGCCTCGCCACACCAGAGAAGATGCCACATACGTGATAGGGGAATAAAACATTGCGTTCCTTTGTCACAAAATTACACAAGAGTCAACCAATCTTATGGAATGGTAGATTGATAGAAACAAGAAGTAGTAAATAGAATGGTAACTTGGAGAGTACCTTCATCACTAGCATGAAAACACTTTTAGCTAAGGAGGAATTTAATTATTTTTACATTGTACAACATGTATCTGTCTGATTCAATTATTAACTAAATTTTAGAACAAGTGTCAGAGTTTCATACGGTCAGTGCCGTCGGGAGGATGGAGAGATTGTTCGAAGGAGCGCATGCGGTATAATTGGAATGTAAGATGTTACAATGAGAGGATTTTCCCAGGTTCGGGACCTCTGGGAAGGAGGTAATACCCTACTCCTGCCTTGGTTGTCTTTATTTCCAACGGTGGTCGACAGAGATCTAAAGGATCGCTGGCGAGATCTTCTCTTGTGGTTATAATTCACCCTGCTGGTGGCTCAGGGTGGCATCCATCCTAGGGTTTTTTCTCTCTTCTTTTTTCCCACTGCACCTATCCTTAACCTTCGCCTTGTATACCGACATGGCTAGGGTTACATTTCTTAACTTGAGATGGGTCTAGGGTTGACTACTTGGATGGCCTCGTGTCACGATGTCATCAACATTCAAAATGTCATGGTGTCGCTTCGGGGCCGACGGTCAAGCCCATGTGCCTCTATAAAGCCTGGGTAGCTAGGGCGAGTGGGCATAGGAAGCCTGGCCCTTATTCCGATGCTTTTGTTTCTTCCGAGCCAGTGGTGGCTTAGTTTTTAGTGGGCGAAGAATGACCAGCCGGGGGTTTGGAGTAGATGACTCTGATAGGTACCGATGAAGATAGGGCGGGCCTTCGCCCTCCCTCCCCACAAGGCACAGTGTTGGTGTTCTAGGATTCCCTCCCTCTATGATGTTTCTTGAACAGAACAATGTCGTTGTCGAGGGGAACATGGAGGCCTCCAATTCTTCCATGGCCACGCCCTCCGATCGCCTCACCGTGGACGAGGTGGAGAAGGAGGATTTGGGTATCTTATCTTACACGCTGGCAAACATGAATCCAAGAATTGTACCTATGTCAAGGGAGGCCACCTGGCGGCCTAGAAGGAGAGGCATCTTTCTAGGCTTTCCTCGACAGTGTCCTTTGAGTAAAGTTTCTTCACATGGTCTTTAGAGCATTTGGTTCCACACGAGTGTCAGCCTCTCAGGTGTTCATTGCCTTCACCGAATGGCTTGCCTGATTTGGGGGCCAAAGCTGCCCAGGACGCCATTCCATTGTGTGTCGCACTCAAGCGCATTCAGCACATGAAGGATCTCCTCGCATATGTTGAAGCATAAGAGATCAAGGAGTCCTCTCAGTGTGGAGCTGATGCTCCAGAGGGCAAGGTGAGCATGGCCTCGTCACCCTTCCCAGATGGGTCACCTAGCATAATCCACCGGGCGAGGACGCCATGGACGACAGCTACTGACGAGTAGAATACAATGTATTCAGTTGGCTCCCAGCTGGGGGAATCTAGCTAATGGCCCATTGTTGGGCATATCATTAATTCCTTTAGAGTATTGAGTGGCGTTTGGCAGGCCGACGAAGTCTGCCCCCAACTGGTGTCCTGTGGGTAACACCCTCACTTCTTGTCCGAGAACCGTGTCCTAAACCATGATGCATGAAGTCTCTCATGGGAGGGGTTCATCTTTCGACCCACGGGGTGCACCTCGTTATAACCCTTCACTCAGTGTGCCCGTAGAGTTGAGGACCCAATGGTCATCTGTCAGAACCCTATATGAACTGAAAAGCCAACCTCATGTGGGTATATAGGGTTGTGCAAAAGATGAAGATCATTCCCATTGTGAAAACGAGGCCTTCCTCCTTTGGGATGCCCAAGTGGTCATTTTCCTTGCCATTGTGTAACACCCCAGATATGATTTACCTAATATGTACTCCAACTCTTGCCGTTTCCGGCCTTAAGTTATTTTATTTTCTCGGGTTCGGGTTTTTGTCTCCGTGTGTTGTTGTCGTTGTCATGCATCTCATATCACGTCATCATGTGCATTGCATTTGCATACATGTTCGTCTCATGCATTCGAGCATTTTCCCCGTTGTCCGTTTTGCATTCCGGTGCTCCGTTCTCCTCCGGTGGTCATTTCTACCTTTCTTTCGTGTGTGGGGATTAAACATTTCCGGATTGGACCGAGACTTGCCAAGCAGCCTTGGTTTACTACCGGTAGACCGCCTATCAAGTTTCGTACCATTTGGACTTCGTTTGATGCTCCAACGGTTAACCAAGGGACCGAGAAGGCCTCGTGTGTTTTGCAGCCCAACACCCCTCCAATTTGGCCCAAAACCCACCAAAACCCTCTCCATCATCTAGAGCGTTCGATCACGATCGCGTGGCCCAAAACCGCACTCCATTTGGAGCTTCCTAGCTCCTCCTACCTATAAAACTAGCACCCACTCCGAAATTCTCCTTCTCCTTCCCCCGAAACCCTAGCCCCCTTCGTCTCCACACGCCGGCGGACATTTTTCCGTCCGTCCGGACATGTCCGCTGCCCTTACCGCGCCACGTGTCGCTCCCTGACTGGGCGAGCCGCCACGCCCACTTCGCCGCCCCACCGGCCCGTCGAAGCCCGCCGCAGGCCCTCCCGGCCCGCGCCCCGATC